AGGGGTGAGAGGGAGGGAGGGTTAGAGGAGGAAGGAAGGTGTGGGTGGAGGTGAGAGGAGGCTTTTATGAGAGAGAGTGGGTGGAGGGGAGAGATAGGGTTATTGGAGGGATGGGTTAGAGCGAGGTGAGGGGTGAAGAGGGAGGGAGGGCTAGGAGGGGTGGGTTAGAGGGAGGAGAGGGTGGAGGCGGCTGTGGAGGGAGAGGGTGGTGGAAGGGGTGAGAGGGAGGGAGGGTGGTACTTTGGGGAGGGTGAGATGGAGGATGGGAGGGTTGGAGGGGTGAGAGGAAAGTGAAGGAGGTGAGAGAGAGGAGGAGGACTATGGAGGAGGTGAGAGGAGGCGTGGAGGCGTGAGAGTGGTGGAGGGGGGTTGGCGCGGTAGGACTGTGTAAGAGGAAGCTGGACTTGCTGCTTCGCTCTCACGTACATGAAATGCGCACATTGGGCTGGATGTGTACATGATGTGTGTGTACAGATATTGCGGGTAGATAGAGAAATGAGAACGGATGAGAAAGAGAGAGAGAGAAGAGAGAAGAGGAGAAGAGAGAGAGAGAGAGAGAGAGAGAGAGAGAGAGAGAGAGAGAGAGAGAGAGAGAGAGTCCAGACAAACAAGACTAGACAAGACAAACAGACAGGACTGACAACCAGCCAGCAGACAACCAGGCAGACAGACACCCAGACACAGACTCCACAAGAAAGCCAAACCAGACGAGCCAGGCCAAGTCAAACGGAAAGCCAAAAACCAGACAAACCAAACCAAAACCCAACCCAAACAGATAACAACAACCCGAGACAAGCAGACGAAGCCAAGAATCCACCAAGCCAAACCAGATTGACAAGCCAAGCCAAGCCAGCCAGACAGACAAGTTAAGCCAAGCCAAGACAAATCCACCCAAGTCAGACAGACAACAAGACAAAATTTGCCAAACCAGGACAGACAGACGAGCCAAGACAAACAAGCCCAGACAAACCAGACAATCCAAAGGCCCAAGACAGACACAGACAGGACAAAGCCAAGCACAGACAAAACCAGGACAAGCCAAGCCAAAGCAGACAACCAGACAACCAAACCAGGAAATATAACCAGACAACCAAGCCAAGACAATAACCAGACAAGCCAAGCCAGACAGACAACAAGACAAGCCAAGATAGACAACCAAACAAGCCAAGCCAAGACAATAACCAGACAAGCCAAGCCAGACATTATAACCAGACAAGCCAAGCCAAGATAAGCCAAGCCAAATATAACCAGCCAAGCCAAGCCAGCCAGACAGACAACCAGACACCAAGACAGAATATACAGACAAGCCAAGCCAGACATATAACCAGACAAGCCAGCCAGACATAACCAGACAAGCCAAGCCAGACATATAACCAGACCAAGAACAAGCCAAGCCAGCCCAGCAGACAAGCCAGCCAGACATATAACCAGACAAGACCCAAAGCCAGAAATATAACCAGACAGCCAAGCCAGACCAGACCAGACAAGCCAAGCCAAGACAGACGACCCCTCCCCCCCCCCAGTCCCCAATCCCCACCCCCCGCGGACTCGACACCCTAACGTGTGGCGGGAAGCCCTCCAAGCAGAGACCGCTGGGTTAGAGTGTGCTTGCTGGGGAATGCGGGCTTAGAATTCCTCGAGGGAGCTAAGGGGGGGGGGGGTTGGGCGTTGGGAATGTCCTTTGTTGGTTTTGGGTGTTGTTGTTAGGTTGTTGTTGTTGTTGTTGTTGTTTATTTTGTTTTGTTTTTTGTTGTAAATATTATTATTATTAATTAATGTTAGTAGTGCTATTATCATTATTATTGTTGTTATTAATATTATCTAATTGCTGTTTTTGTTATTCTTTTTATTATTATATATTATTATCATCATCATCAACTACAATAACAGGGGTACGCTGCTTTTGTTTTTATTAGAGAGAGAGAAGAGAAGAGAGAGAAGAGAGAGAGAGAGAGAGAGAGAGAGAGAAGAGAGAAGAGAGAGAGAGAGAGAGAGAGAGAGAGAGAGAGAAAGAGAAAAGAAGAGATAAACAGAAAGTAAGAAAGAAAGGGATATGAAAAGCGAAGGAGACAAGAGACAAACAGAAAGAGGAAGGGAACGAAAGAAAGAAAGAGAAAGAGAGAGGGAGAGAGACGAAAAAGAAAGTCAGTATGCAGTGAAACAATAAAAAAAGAAAAAAAAATCGCGAGGAACGTCTGCTCTCACGGTATCTCCGAGGTTGCCAGATGCGCGATGACTGCCAGATGTCACGTGTCCGATGCCCGCGACCTTGAGTTTTAAAGGAAAAAGAAAATAAAATGGATTTTTTTTTCTTCTCTCCTGTCTGCTTGGATTATGGTAGATTTTTTTTTTGTTTCGTTTTTTTAAGGTCGGTTCTCTGGTTTTTATAAGATGAATGTGGTTTATTTATTTTATTTTTATTTCTTTTTATTTTAAAACGTAATAGAAAGGTTACTTCGTTTTTTTTTTTTTTTTTTTTTTTTTTTTTGTATTTTGTGTATTTTTATTTATTTATTTATTTTATTTTATTTTATTATTTATTTTTTGTTTTTTGATAATACATAATAGAGATATTACGATTAATATGTAGGCCTATCTCTTTCTTACTATCACACCGTTAATATAATTGTTATCGTCATTTTTCTGTTATTATTTTATTGCCTAATTATCAAAATGAGGAAAAATAATGGTTATTACGATGACGCAAGAAATTGATTAGTTTTACGATGGTAACAAGGTCTGTGGTTAATGTTATTGCTTGTTATTGTTATTACGGTTATTAGCTCTTAGTACAATTAGCTATTATGACTCTTGTTAGGGTTATTATCATCGGTGTTTTATATTTACTTTCGAAAAGGGTTGTGTTATGTTTTAAGTTTGTATTTTTTTTTTTTTCTTTCTTTGCCATTTTTTTAAAAGAAGAGGGAAAAAGTTATATTTTTGGTGTTACGTTTATTATTATTGTTGTTATTGTTATTATCTTTTGTTGTTGTTGTTGTTATTTATTATTATTATTATTATTATTATTATTATTATGCTGTTGTTCTTGTTATTATTAGAAAGAAAAGACCTCTTGGTCCATTTATTTTTGTTTTTCCTTTTTTAAAATAAATCATAGACCTACTGGATTGACATAAATATTAATGTGTGTGTATCATACAGGCAAGGCAAGTAATATTTCAATGCATTTATCCTTATTATATGTAAATTGTTAATGTTCATTTATTTATCTTTATTGTTTACTCATTTTTGAACGGAGCTCAGGAATTCGGTGTTGCATTTGCCGTTGCAGAGTGTAAAATAAGATTTCATTTTTTCTTCCAAATATGCAGAACGATTTTTTTTTAGCTGTCAGTCTTGCAGTTTTGGAGCCCGTTCGTATAGTCACAAATGCGAGATGTCAGGAGAATGTCAGCCGCTGTAATGGATGATGCAGTCAGTTTTAAAAAGAGAGAGAAAAAAAATGGCGGGGAAGGGGAGGAAGGAGGGAAGGAGAGAGAAGGAGGGAGGAGGGAGGAGGGAGAGAGGGAGGAGGATGGGAGGAGAGATGAGAGGGAGGAGGAGGGAGAGGGAGGGAGGGAGGAAGGGGAGGAAGAGGAGGAGGGAGGATGGAGAGGAGATAGGGAAGGATGGAGGAAAAGGGAGGAGGGAATAATGGAGGGAGAGGAGAGGGATGGAAGGAGGGAGGAAGGAAGGAGAGACAGACAGACAGACAGACAACAAGACTTAGACAGCGAAAAAAAGGTTTTTAAAAGCGGAGAGAAAAAGAAAAGATCCGCCTTTGCATTTTT